AAGGATGTTAAGGCATTGGAAAGGGTGCAGAGGAGATTTACAAGAATGGTACCAGGAATGAGGGATCTTGATGATGAGGAAATGCTAGAGAGGCCGGGATTATTCTCATTGGAGCAGAGACGGTTAGAGGACCTGATAGAGGTCTTCAAAATCATGAGGGGATTTGATAGGTTAGAAAGGGAAAAACTGTTTCCACTGGTGGGTGTGTGGTGACTGGAGGTCACAGATTTAAAATAGTCTCTAAAAGAAGCAGAGGGGAAGTGAGAAGGAATGTTTTCACGCAGCGAGTTGCTTGAATCTGGAATGCATTGCTGAAAGGATGGTCGAGACCAATTCGATAACAACTTTTAAAAACGCGGTGGACGGGTATTTGAGGAGGACAGGTTTGCAGGGTTATGGGGAGAGGGCTGGGAGTGGGATTGACGTTACATTGCTCTTCTCAAAGAGCCGACACAGACTCGATGGGCCAAATAACCTCTTTTTGTGCTGTACAATTCTATGATTCTATGATTCTACAATAGTAATTCAGTGTTGGGACCAGATGTGTGGTTTCCTTGTTGGTTTTCGCTTCCTGTAGTAGTGACTTTTGCTCCTTATTTCTTAGCCCCTCCCATACCTAAAATGACTGGTGAGTGAGCCCCATGTTTACTGTACTTACAGCCCAAGAAATGCATAACTTATTGACCATTGACCATATAATGTCATGGAGTTTAGTATCAAGAGTACAATTTCCAAGCTTGCAAGTGAGGAATTGAAGTATATGGTGTGGAAGATATTTATAGACTGCAAGAGGACATAGACAGCCTGGTAGAATAGGCAGACACCTGGTAGATCAAGATTAATTGCAGTAATGTGGAGAAATGCAAAATCATGCATTTTGTGAGAAAGAATGAAGGGAGGCAATGTAAATTAGATAGTATAATTTTAAAGGGGGTGAAGGAACAAAGAGACTGGGGTTTCAGGTCAGTAAATCTTTGAAGGTGAAGGACAGGTAGAAACACAAGTGCTCTGAGACTCCGTCTCCGGCATAGTGGGCGCTGTATATATCCAAGTTGTTGTTGTTAAAGAAGCATAAGGGGTACTAGCCTTAAAAAAAAGGGGCATCGAAAACAAATGTCAGGAAGTTATAATGACCTTTATAATACTGATTAGGCAATTGAGGTAAACCTCAGCTAGAGACTGTGTTCCATTCTGGGCCCCACATTTTCGGAAGGATGTCAAGGCATTGGAGGAATGCAGAGGAGATTTCCCTTGGAGCAGATGAAGTTAAGAGGAGACTCAATAGAAGCTTTAAAAATTATGAGATGATTCAATTGGGTGAAGAAAGAGAAACTATTTCCAATGGCGGGTGGTCACTGATTTAAAATGGATGTTAACAGAACCAGAGGGGAGGTCAGGAGAAATAGCTTTACAAAGCGAGTTGTTTAGATCTGGAATTCATTGCCTGAAAGATTGGTGTAAGGCAATTCAATAACAGCTTTTAAGAAAGTACAAGATATTTATTTGGGAGGACAAGTTTTCAGGGCTATGGGGATAGAGCGGGGCAGAGGTATTGATTTGGAAAGCTCTTTTAAAAAAGGAAGCACAGACACGATGGGCCGAATGACCTCCTTCTGAGCTGTATAATTCTATGATTCTATTGAAATTCAAGTGCAGACTGAAGTTGCTTGGTATAACTTTCAACTCTTGCAATACACCAACTGTTTGCGTATCACTTTTGGAGTCAGTTATTCAATTGATTTCAAATTAATTTGTTGTCACATCAAGAGTGGAATCTGTGTTTTGCCTATTTCACTGTAAATGATCTTTTCTGCCTTTTGCAGTTCACCCTCACAAGCCATTCCGTGAGTTACTTTCCAAACCCAACTGGTGCTGAATGTGTAAAACGTCATTCAAATATAGAATTCCCAGATGCGTTCGGTTGAGAATTGCATTGCAGTGTTGGGTCTGATCAGAGACTGTAAAGAATGGGATGAAATAGGAGATTGTTTGGGGTGTTGAATTGTGTGCTGGAGTCAGTGTGTGTTGTCTTGTCAGCTTTCAGCTGCTGCACCAGTGACTTTTCATTCCTCCTTTCTCAGCCAACGTTCCTGAACCATTGCCGACAGGTGAGACACCCACTTGTTATGCTTTCAGCACGCAATTGCAGGAGCAGTGAGAATGTTGTCTCAGGCTGGATATTGCATTTGAATGTTTGAATCAATCAGTAATTCTGCACGATGAAGGTGAATGTGAGTGGGGTTTGTGCTTCTGAATCTCCCCTCGGATACATTCCGTTTGCAGAAGACATGTGATCATCTGGAATCCACTGAACATGTGATTGTCTGTTCACATGTTCTATTGATGTTGTTGTACAGGTGTCATCCCCATCAGGGACTGGGGTTTATGATCTAAATTTGGTATGAACTGTTTAATTTGTGATATTCTACAATAACCAGTCATTTCTTCACTCTTCCCATCGAACTAATATTTGGTTGTGTTTTCCAGGGAGACCATCACTCACGTACCTGCAAGTGAAACCGTTTAATATCTGCTTGATGAGCTCAACGTTGCCGCCTTAAAATAGGTTGAAATTGATTAGCAAAGGAGAGAGCAGCACCACCTTGTATTTGGCTCAGTTGAAGCTTGATATTGAAAGTGTTGGACTGGAGCCAGCAATCACACACGGCATGATGGCCTGGGGTGCAGTTTGGGATGTTTGAATCAGTGCTGGGATCAGATGTGGGTTTTTCTTGTCGGCTTTCACTTCCAATCATTAAGAATGTGCTTGGCAAAAGAAGACCATGGTCCATCTATTTCACCTGCCACCATCCTGGCAGTCGCTTGACATGTCCGTCTCCAAACGTTATCCTAAATCCCGAGATATTATTTTCTGGCAGTAATCTATGTAATTTGTTCTTGATAGAAACAACATTTTCTGCATTTACTGTCTCCTTATCTATTCCCTTCAGAATCTTAAAGACCATAATCATATTAGTGCCCCTCAACCTTCTCTTCTCCAGTGTGAACATGCCCAGTTTATCTAATCACTACTCATAGTCCAGACCCTCCATCCCCTGAATCATGTTGGTTGCTCTCCTCTGTATCTTCTCAAACGCTGCAATATCCTTTCTATATACGGTGACCAGAACTGGAAACAGTAATCCAAATGCTGTCGCACCAGTGATTTGTAAAGTATTTGGATTACCTATGTTTCGGCTCAACATTGCCTTTTAATAAGCCCGGGATCCAGTTTGGCTTACTCTCTTCTACCAAGTATTTTTGGGAAAGCTTCAAATTTTTCATCAAATCAGGATCCCAAGGTCCTTTTCATTTTCCGTACAGATTATTTACTACCTATTAAATAATAGTCCCTAACTAGATTTTTTGTTCCCATGTGAAGCACATTTCATTTCTCGATATTAAATTTCATCTGCCATAGATCTGCCCACTTCGTAAGAATGCTCAAATCTTCCTGTAACCTGTCCTGTTCCTCTTTGCAGTCTACCTCCTTCGATAGCTTTGTATACGCAAAATCAAGAACAATCTGCCTACAAATCAAGTAGTAAATTAATTTGGCATGATCTGCCCTTCATAAACCTATATTGACTATCTTTATCATTTTATTACTGACCAGGTGCTCCATGATCTTATTTTTAATAAGAATCTCCATCAGTTTATCAAATGCAGGGATTTTTACTCCTCCATAACTCTAGAAATCCTTCCCTATCTTACCAGTAGACACATTTTCAAACCCAATCAATTTCATGTAAGTTAATATCTCCAACTGCGATGTTGGTCCCTTGCTAATCATCTTCCTGATCTCATCCCACAGTTCCAGTCAAGGTTATGACCCTGGTCTGGAGGTCTTTAGCAAACCCTCAATAATAGTGACAGCCTCTGTTGCAATCTATTAATTCTACCGAAAGTGATTCTGTGGCTGCCCATCCTGAACGATGAAGGTGAATGTCATGGGGTTTACTGTACATCCCAGGAAATGCAGAAAGTATCTATCATCTTACTGAGATTCACATGCAGAATGAAGTTGCTTGGTCTAAATTTCAACAAAATACACCGACTGTTTGCGTATCACCTTTGGAGTTTGCGATGGTTCTCACCCCTGTTGTAACAAATCAATTTTATTTATGCAAAGTGTACTGGGTGGCCTCTGTTTCAGCTCTTTCTCTGTCAGTGCAAATCCCGACTCTTGTGGAAATTTCACTAATTAGAGCAACGTGCCGACAGGTATTCTCAATTGCCTCCTGCTCTTGCTATTGAGATGCCCTCATTATAGCCATATTGCACTACCAGGCCTATAATTCCAGTGACTAACTGCTTGTGAGTAAATCCCCACCTCTATCTGTAGAATATTACAGCAACAAATATGCTTTTTAGAAGAAATAACACATGCTTATTAACCCTAAAGACCCTCAGTCTACTTACTGTGCAGTGTTTGGGGTTGGATTGTGTGCTGCAGTCAGCGTGTGTTTGTCTTGTCAGTTTCAGTTGCTCCACCAGTGATTTTTCTCTCCTCCTTTCTCAGCCAACTTTCCTGGACGACGGCCGACAGGTGAGACACACAGCACTTGTTACACTTTGAGCTCAGCAATTGTAGGAGCAGTGAGAATGTTGTCTCAGGGCTGGATATTGCATTTGAATGTTTGAATCAATCAGTAATTCTGCACGATGAAGGTGAATGTGTGTGGAGTTTGTGCTTCTGAATTCTCCCCTCGGATACATTTCCGTTTACAGAAGACATGTGATCATCTGGAATCCACTGAACATGTGATTGTTCTGTTCACATGTTCTATTTGACGTGAGTTTGCACAGGTGTCGTTCCCATCAGGGACTGGGTTTATGTTCTCTACATTGTTGTGAACTGCTTCATTCTTTATATTCTCCAATACCCAGCCATTGAATTTGCTCTTCCCGTCTGACTAACATTTGTTTGTGTTTTCTAGAGAGACCTTGGATTTTCCGCCCTGCAAGTGAGTAGCTTTTTCGCATCTGCTTCATACATCTCAAGTTTCAGCCTTAGATTGCCCTTGATATTGAGTAGCAAAGGAGAGAGCAGCACCACCTCGTATTTGCCTCAGATAAAGCTTGATATTGAGGTCAAAACGCAAAATACTGCAGATGCTGGAAATCTGAATACAACAACAGAAGTCGTTGGGAACACTCAGCAGGTCAGGCAGCATCTACGGAGTAAGGAAAGTGAATCAACGTTTCTGGTCCGTGACCCTTCGTCAGAACTAAAAAGATTTGTCGAAGGATTGTGGAACCGAAACCTTGACTCACTTTCCTTTCTCCATAGATACTGCCTGAGTTGCTGAGTGTTCCCAGTGACTTCTGTTGTTGATATTGAGGTGTTAGACTGGAGCCGGCAATCACACACGGCATGATGGACTGGGGGGTAGTTTGTGATATTTGAATCGAGTGCTGGGATCAGATGTGTGATTTCCTTGTCGGTTTCCACTTGCTGTAGTAGTAACTTTGCTCCTTATTTTCTCAGCCCCTCCAACACCTAAAACAACTGGTGAGTGAGCCCATGTTTACTATGCTAACACCCCAGGAAATGCAGAATATGTTGACATTTGTACATATAAATGACATGGACTTGGGTATAGAGAGTAACATTTTCAAGCTTGCAGGTAATGCTCAGCTAAGAAGAGTAGCAAATTTTATGGAGGACTGTAGAAGACTGAAGGAGGACATTGTAAGATGGGCAGACATGTGGCAGATGAAGATTAATTCCAATAATGTGGACAAAACGCAAAATAATGCATTTTGGGAGGAAGAATTAGAAGAGGCATTGTAAACAAGTTGGTAGAATCTAAAAGGGACTGAAGGAAGAAAGACACTTGTGGCTTCATTTCAGTAAATCTTCGAAGGTGGCAGGATAGTCAGATAAAGCTGATAAGAAAGCATAGGGGTCACCAGCATTTATAAATAGGGGCAAAGAATACAAAATCCGGAAGTTATGATGAACCTTTATAGAACACTGGTTTACCAAATGAGGCAAACCTCAGCTAGAGATGGTATTGATTTCTGGGCACCAGACTTTTGGAGGATGTCTAGGGGTTAGGTGGTGCTCAGAGGAGATTTTCCAGGGTGGTAACAGGAATGAGAGACTTCAGTTATCTGGACAGGCTGGAGACGCTAGGATTATTCTCCTTGGAGCAGAGGATGTGAAGAGGAGATGAAATAGAAGTTTCTAAAATTCTGAGAGGATTTGATAGCTTGAAGGAGGAGAAACTATTTGCACTGACAGTTGGTTCAGTAATCAAAGGGAACAGTATCTCAATAGTTGTTGAAAGAAACAGAGGGGAGGTGAGCAGAAAGTGTTTTCACAAATCGAGTTGGTTGCATCTGGAATGCATTGCCTGAAAGGGTAGTGCAAGCCAATTCGATAACAACTTTTAAGACAGATATAGATAATTATTAGGGAGGACAAGATTGGACGGCTGTGTGTATAGAGTTAGGTATTGGAATTGATTTTGATAGCCCTTTTCAAAAAGACGGCAGAGACACGATGAGCCGAATGTCCTCCTTCTGTGTTGCATAATTCTATATTTCTATCACCTTATTGAGATTCATGTGCAGAATGAAGTTGCTTGGTTAAAATTTGATTTTTTACAACACTCCGACTGTTTGAATATCACTCGTGGAGTCAGCTATTCAATTAATTTCAAGTTAATTTGTTATCACATCAAGTGCGGAATCTGTGTTTTGCCTATTTCACTGGAAATGATCTTTTCTGCCTTTTGCAGTTCACCCTCACAAGCCATTCCGTGAGTCATTTGTTACTTTCCAAACGCAACTTGTGCTGAATGTGTAAAACGTCATTCAAATATAGAATTCCCAGTTGCCTGAGGCTGAGAATTGGATTGTAGTTTTGGCTCTGATCAGAGACTGTAAAGAACGGCATGAAATAGGAGATTGTTTGGGTTGTTGAATTGTGTGGTGGAGTCAGTGTGTGTTTGTCTTGTCAGCTTTCAGCTGCTCCAGCTGTGATTTTTCTCTCCTCCTTTCTCAGCCAACTTTCCTGGACGACGGCCGCCAGGTGAGACACACACTTGTAATACTTTGAGCACAGCAATTGCAGGAGTAGTGAGAATGTTGTCTCAGGGCCGGATTTTGCATTTGAATGTTTGAATCAATCAGTAATTCTGCACGAAGAAGGTGAATGTGAGTGGGGTTTGTGCTTCTGAATTCTCCCCTCGGATACATTTCAGTTTGCAGAAGACATGTGATCATCTGGAATCCACTGAACATGTGATTGTTCTGTTCACATGTTCTAATTAATGTGTGTTTGCACAGGTGTCATTCCCATCAGGGACTGGGTTTATGATCTCCACATTGTTGTGAACTGCTTCACTCTTTATATTCTCCAACAACCAGCCATTGAATTTGCTCTTCCCGTCTGGCTAACATTTGGTTGTGTTTTCTAGAGAGACCTTGGATTTACACCCCTGCAAGTGAGTTGCTTTTTCGCATCTGCTTAATACCCCTCAAATTTCAGCCTTAAAATGGCCCTTGATATTGAGTAGCAAATGAGAGAGCAGCACCACCTCGTATTTGCCTCAGATAAAGCTTGATATTGAGTTTAAAACGCAAAATACTGCAGATGCTGGAAATCTGAATACAAAAACAGAAGTCGCTGGGAACACTCAGCAGGTCAGGCAGCATCTACGGAGTAAGGAAAGTGAGTCAACATTCTGGTCCATGACCCTTCGTCAGAACTGAAAAGATTTGATGAAGGATTGTGGCAGCAAAACATTGACTCACTTTCCTTTCTCCATAGATAGTGCCTGAGCTGCTAAGTGTTCCCAGTGACTTCTGTTGTTGATATTGAGGTGTTAGACTGGAGCCGGCAATCACACACGGCATGATGGACTGGGGGGTAGTTTGTGATGTTTGAATTGAGTGCTGAGATCAGATGTGTGTTTTCCTTGTCGGCTTCCACTTGCTGTAGAAGTGACCTTTCTTACTTTCTTACTTTCTCAGCCCCTCCAACACCTAAAACAACTGGTGAGTGAGCCCCATGTTTACTTTACTTACAGCCCAGGAAATGCAGAATGTATTTCTATTGGCCATATAATTGTCATGGATTGGGTATAGGGAGTAGAATTTCCAAGTATACAGATGATGATAAGCTAAGAAGAAGAATATATGATACGGAGGACAGTTGCAGACTGCAGGAGGACATAGTTGTAATATGGGCAGACACGTGGCAGGTGAAGTTTAATTCCAGTAAAGTGGACAGAATGCAAAGTAATGTGTTTTGGGAGGAAGAATCAGGAGAGGCTATGTAAACAAGATGGTAGAATCTTAAAGCGGCTGAAGGAACACAGAGTCCTGTGCGTTCATTTCAGTACGTTTTTGAAGGTGGCAGCACAGGTAGATAAAGCTGTGAAAAAAGCATTTGTGACACCCGGCTTCATAAATAGGGGCAAAGAATACAAAAATCAGAAAGCTATGATGAAACTTTATTAAACACTGGTTAGCCAAATGAGGCAAACCTCAGCTGGAGACTGTATTGAATTCTGGCCACCACATTTTCGGAAGGATGTCAAGGCATTGGAGGAGTGCAGAGGAGATTTCCCAGGATAGTACCAGGAAAGAAAACTTCAGTTATCAGGACAGGCTGGAGACGCGAGGATTATTTTCACTGAAGCAGAGGAGTTTAAGAGCAGACTAAATAGAAGTTTCTAAAATTCTTAGGAGATTCGATAGGGTGAAGAAGGAGAAACTATTTGAACTGGTGGGTGGCTCTGTAACCAGAGGGCACCGTTTCAAAGTAGTTGTCAAAAGAAACAGAGGGGAGGTGAGCAGAAAGCGTTTTCACAAAGTGAGTTGGTTGGTTCAGGAATGCATTGCCTGAAAGCGTGGTGGAAGCCAATTTGATAACAATTTTTAATACAGATACAGATAATTATTTGAGGAGGACAAAGTTGGACGGCTGTGGGTGTGGATTAGGGGAGTGTTATTGATTGGGGCAGCTCTTTTCAAACAGCCGGCACAGACACGGTGAGCCATATGGCCTCTTCTGTGCTGTATAATTCTATATTTCTATGATCTTATTGAGATTCACGTGCAGACTGAAGTTGCTTGGTCTAAATTTCAACTCTTGCAATACACAGAGTGTTTGAGTTTCAATTTTGGAGTCATAATTCAATTCATTTCAAATTAATTTGTTGTCACATCAAGTGCGGAATCGTTGTTTTGCCTATTTCACTGTAAGTGATCTTTTCTGCCTTTTGCAGTTCACCCTCACAAGCCATTCCGTGAGGCATTTGTTGCTTTCCAAACCCAACTTGTGCTGAATGTGTAAAACGTCATTCAAATATAGAATTCCCAGTTGCCTGAAGCTGAGAATTGGATTGCAGTGTTGGGTCTGATCAGAGACTGTAAAGTACGGCATGAAATAGGAGATTGTTTGGGGTGTTGAATTGTGTGCTGGAGTCAGTGTGTGTTTGTCTTGTCAGCTTTCAGCTGCTCCACCAGTGACTTTTCTTTCCTCCTTTCTCAGCCAACTTTCCTGGACGATGGCCGACAGGTGAGACACACACTTGTTATACTTTCAGCACAGCAATTGCAGGAGCAGTGAGAATGTTGTCTCAGGGCCGGATATTGCATTTGAATGTTTGAATCAATCAGTAATTCTGCACGATGAAGGTGAATGTGAGTGGGGTTTGTGCTTCTGAATTCTCCCCTCGGATACATTTCCGTTTGCAGAAGACATATCATCTGGAATCCACTGAACATGTGATGATTCTGCTCGCATGTTCTATTTGATGTGTGTTTGCACAGCTGTCATTCCCATCAGGGACTGGGTTTATGTTCTCTACATTTTTGTGAACTGCTTCATTCTTTATATTCTCCAATAACCAGCCATTGAATTTGCTCTTCCGGTCTGACTAATGTTTGGTTGTGTTTTCCAGAGAGACCTTGGATTTTCCGCCCTGCAAGTGAGTTGTTTTTTCGTATCTGCTTCACACATCACAAATTTCAGCCTTAAAATGGCCGTGATATTGAGTAGCAAAGGAGAGAGCAGCACCACCTCGTATTTGCCTCAGATAAAGCTTGATATTGAGGTCAATACGCAAAATACTGCAGATGCTGGAAATCTGACAACGCAAACAGAAGTCTCTGGGAACACTCAGCAGGTCAGGCAGCATCTACGGAGTAAGGAAAAAGAGTCAACGTTTCTGGTCCATGACCCTCCGTCAGAACTGAAAAGATTTGTGTAGTTTGTGATGTTTGAATTTCGGACTCGGATCAGATGTGTGTTTTCCTTGTCGGCTTCCACTTGCTGTAGTAATGACCTTTCTTCCTTTCTTACTTTCTCAGCCCCTCCAACACCTAAAACAACTGGTGAGTGAGCCCCATGTTTACTTTACTTACAGCCCAGGAAATGCAGAATGCATTGACTATTGGCCCTATAAATGTCATGGACTTGGGTATAGGGAGTAGAATTTCCCAGCTTACAGATAATCCTAAGCTAAGAAGAGGAGAAAATTTTGTGGAGCATGATAGCAGACTGCAGGCGGCCATAGAAATAATTGTAAGATGGGCAGATACGTGGCAGATAGTTTAATTCCAATAATATGGACAAAATGCAATGTCAATGTGTTTTGGAAGGAAGAATAAGAAGAGGCAATGTAATAATAATCAATAATATTAATCCTTGCATTTGATACAGCGCTTTTCACGTCGTAAGGACGTCCCAAAACGCTTCACAGAATACACTGTATAGTGAATTGACTGTATATTTGTGTGCGAACGCGGCAGCCAATTGCGCACAGCAATGTCCCACAAACAGTCGTAGATTGAAAAGGACCAATTTATTATTGTTTTTGTTTTGGCGGGATTATTATTATAATAATTATAATAATTATTATTATAAGGAAACTTGCCCAAGGTTTCGCCGTGCCTGGAAGTGAACTCAGGTCTCTCGGTTGCAAAGCGAGTGGTCTAACCACTGAGCTACAGGACTTCACAATGTAAACAGGACAGTTGAATCTTAAAGGGGTTGAAGGAACACAGAGACCTGGGGCTTCACATAAATCTTTGAACGTAGCAGGACAGGAAGATAAAGCTGTTAAAAAAGCAAAGGGGTTACTAGGCTTTATAAATCGGGGCAAAGAATACAAAAGTCAGGAATTATGATGAACCTTTAGAGAACATTGGTTTGGCAAATGAGGCAAACCTCAGCTAGAGACGGTATTGATTTCTGGGCATCACACTTTTGGAGGATTTCTAGGGGTTAGGTGGGGCTCAGAGGAGATTTTCCAGGATGGTAACAGGAATGAGAGACTTCAGTTCCCAGGACAGGCTGGAGACGCTAGGATTATTCTTCTTGGAGCAGAAGATATGAAGAGGAGATGAAATAGAAGCTTTTAAAATTCTGAGAGGATTTTATAGGGTGGAGAAGGAGAAACTATTTGCACTGGTGGGTTGCTCTGTAACCAGAGGGCACCGTTTCAAAGCAGTTGTCAAAAGAAACAGAGGGGAGGTGAGCAGAAAGTGTTTTCACAAAGCGAGTTGGTTGGTTCAGGAATGCATTGACTGAAAGGGTGGTGGAAGCCAATTCGATGACAACTTTTAAGAGAGATGTAGATAATTATTTGAGAAGGACAAAGTTGAATGGCTGTGGGGGTAGAGTGGGGGAGTGTTATTGATTGGGGCAGCTCTTTTCAAAAAGCCGGGACAGACACGATGAGCCATATGGCCTCCTTCTGTGCTGTATAATTCTGTATTTCTATGATCGTATTGAGATTCATGTGCAGAATGAAGTTGCTTGGTCAACTCTTGCAATACACAGAGTGTTTGAGTCTCAATTTTGGAGTCATAATTCAATTCATTTCAAATTAATTTGTTGTCACATCAAGTGCGGAATCGTTGTTTTGTGTATTTCACTGTAACTTATCTTTTCTGCCTTTTGCAGTTCACCCTCACAAGCCATTCCGTGAGGCATTTGTTGCTTTCCAAACCCAACTTGTGCTGAATGTGTAAAACGTCATTCAAATATAGAATTCCCAGTTGCCTGAAGCTGAGAATTGGATTGCAGTGTTGGGTCTGATCAGAGACTGTAAAGAACGGCATGAAATAGGAGATTGTTTGGGGTGTTGAATTGTGTGCTGGAGTCAGTGTGTGTTTGTCTTGTCAGCTTTCAGCTGCTCCACCAGTGACTTTTCTTTCCTCCTTTCTCAGCCAACTTTCCTGGACGATGGCCGACAGGTGAGACACAAACTTGTTATACTTTCAGCACAGCAATTGCAGGAGCAGTGAGAATGTTGTCTCAGGGCTGGATATTGCATTTGAATGTTTGAATCAATCAGTAATTCTGCACGATGAAGGTGAATGTGAGTGGGGTTTGTGCTTCTGAATTCTCCCCTCGGATACATTTCCGTTTGCAGAAGACATGTGATCATCTGGAATCCACTGAACATGTGATCGTTCTGCTCGCATGTTCTATTTGATGTGCGTTTGCACAGGTGTCATTCCCATCAGGGACTGGGTTTATGTTCTCTACATTTTTGTGAACTGCTTCATTCTTTATATTCTCCAATAACCAGCCATTGAATTTGCTCTTCCCGTCTGTCTAATGTTTGGTTGTGTTTTCTAGAGAGACCTTGGATTTTCCGCCCTGCAAGTGAGTTGCTTTTTCGTATCTGCTTCACACATCTCAAATTTCAGCCTTAAAATGGCCTTGATATTGAGTAGCAAAGGAGAGAGCAGCACCACCTCGTATTTGCCTCAGATAAAGCTTGATATTGAGGTCAATACGCAAAATACTGCAGATGCTGGAAATCTGACAACGCAAACAGAAGTCTCAGGGAACACTCAGCAGGTCAGGCAGCATCTACGGAGTAAGGAAAAAGAGTCAACATTTCTGGTCCATGACCCTCCGTCAGAACTGAAAAGATTTGTGTAGTTTGTGATGTTTGAATTTCGTACTCGGTTCATATGTGTGTTTTCCTTGTCGGCTTCCACTTGCTGTAGTAGTGACCTTTCTTACTTTCTTACTTTCTCAGCCCCTCCAACACCTAAAACAACTGGTGAGTGAGCCCCATGTTTACTTTACTTACAGCCCAGGAAATGCAGAATGCATTGACTATTGGCCATATAAATGTCATGGACTTGGGTATAGGGAGTAGAATTTCCCAGCTTACAGATAATGCTAAGCTAAGAAGAGTAGAAAATTTTGTGGAGGATGATAGCAGACTACAGGCGGCCATAGAAATAATTGTAAGATGGGCAGATACGTGGCAGATAGTTTAATTCCAATAATATGGACAAAATGCAATGTCAATGTGTTTTGGAAGGAAGAATAAGAAGAGGCAATGTAATAATAATAAATAATATTAATCCTTGCATTTGATACAGCGCTTTTCACGTCGTAAGGACGTCGCAAAGCGCTTCACAGAATACACTGTATAGTGAATTGACTGTATATTTGTGTGCGAACGCGGCAGCCAATTGCGCACAGCAATGTCCCACAAACAGTCGTAGATTGAAAAGGACCAATTTATTATTGTTTTTGTTTGGAGGGATTATTATTATGCTTGTGGAGTAAGGAAACTTGCCCAAGGTTTCGCCGTGCCTGGAAGTGAACTCAGGTCTCTCGGTTGCAAAGCGAGTGGTCTAACCACTGAGCTACAGGGCTCCACAATATAAACAGGACAGTTGAATCTTAAAGGGGCTGAAGGAACACAGAGACCTGGGGCTTCACATAAATCTTTGAACGTAGCAGGACAGGAAGATAAAGCTGTTAAAAAAGCAAAGGGGTTACTAGGCTTTATAAATCGGGGCAAAGAATACAAAAGTCAGGAAGTTATGATGAACCTTTAGAGAACACTGGTTTGGCAAATGAGGCAAACCTCAGCTAGAGACGGTATTGATTTCTGGGCATCACACATTGGAGGATTTCTAGGTGTTAGGGGGGCTCAGAGGAGATTTTCCAGGATGGTAACAGGAATGAGAGACTTCAGTTCCCAGGACAGGCTGGAGGCGCTAGGATTATTCTTCTTGGAGCAGAAGATATGAAGAGGAGATGAAATAGAAGCTTTTAAAATTCTGAGAGGATTTGATAGGGTGAAGAAGGAGAAACTATTTGCACTGGTGGGTGGCTCTGTAACCAGAGGGCACCGTTTCAAAGCAGTTGTCAAAAGAAACAGAGGGGAGGTGAGCAGAAAGTGTTTTCACAAAGCGAGTTGGTTGGTTCAGGAATGCATTGACTGAAAGGGTGGTGGAAGCCAATTCGATGACAACTTTTAAGAGAGATGTAGATAATTATTTGAGAAGGACAAAGTTGAATGGCTGTGGGGTAGAGTGGGGGAGTGTTATTGATTGGGGCAGCTCTTTTCAAAAAGCCGGGACAGACACGATGAGCCATATGGCCTCCTTCTGTGCTGTATAATTCTGTATTTCTATGATCGTATTGAGATTCATGCAGAATGAAGTTGCTTGGTCAACTCTTGCAATACACAGAGTGTTTGAGTATCAATTTTGGAGTCAGTTATTCAATTCATTTTGAATTAATTTTTTATCACATCAAGTGTGGAATCCGTGTTTTGCCTATTTCACTGTAAATGATCGTTTCTGCCTTTTGCAGTTCACCCTCACAAGCCATTCCGTGAGTCATTTGCTTCTTTCCAAACCCAACTGCTGCTGAATGTGTGAATCGTCATTCAAATATATAATTCCCAATTGCGTTCGGTGGAGAATTGGATTGCAATTCAGAGACTGTAAAGAATGGGATGAAATAGGAGATTGTTGGGGTTTTGAATTGTGTGCTGGAGTCAGTGTGTGTTTGTCTTGTCAGCTTTCAGTTGCTGCACCAGTGACTTTTCATTCTTCCTTTCTCAGCCAACATTCCTGAACCATTGCCGACAGGTGAGACACACACTTGTTATGCTTTCAGCACCGCAATTGCAGGGAGCAGTGAGAATGTTGTCTCAGGGCTGGATATTGCATTTGAATGTTTGAATCAATCAGTAATTCTGCACGATGAAGGTGAATGTGAGTGGGGTTTGTGCTTCTGAACTCTCCCCTCGGATACATTTCCGTTTGCAGAAGACATGTGATCATCTGGAATCCACTGAACATGTGATTGTTCTGTTCACATGTTCTATTTGATGTGTGTTTGCACAGGTGTCAGTCCCATCAGGGACTGGGTTTATGATCTAAATTTTGGTATGAACTGTTTAATTTGTGATATTCTACAATAACCAGTCATTTTCTTTGCTCTTCCCATCAAACTAATATTTGGTTGTGTTTTCCAGGGAGACCATCAACTCACGTACCTGCAAGTGAGACACTGTTTAATATCTGCTTGATGAGCTCAACGTTGCCGCCTTAAAATAGGTTTGAAATTGATTAGCAAAGGAGAGAGCAGCACCACCTTGTATTTGGCTCAGTTGAAGCTTGATATTGAAGTGTTGGACTGGAGCCAGCAATCACACATGGCATGATGGCCTGGGGTGCAGTTTGGGATGTTTGAATTCAGTGCTGGGATCAGATGTGGGTTTTTCTTGTCGGCTTTCACTTCCAATCATTAAGAATGTGCTTGGCAAAAGAAGACCATGGTCCATCTATTTCACCTGCCACCATCCTGGCAGTCGCTTGACATGTCGTCTCCCAAACGTTATCCTAAATCCCGAGATATTATTTTCTGGCAGTAATCTATGTAATTTGTTCTTGATAGAAACAACATTTTCTGCTTTCACAGTCTCCTTCGGGAGATGGGTCCTCAAATTTACTGTTCGCTCACTGAGTGTTTCCACAGATTTGTTCTGATTTCGACAGATTTACCCCCTTTCAATCGCAGGTCATGTCCCCTGTTCAGCACAAGAAATATCAGCTTGGCGTGGTCTATATTATCTATTCCCTTCAGAATCTTAAAGACCATAATCATATTAGGGACCCTCAACCTTCTCTTCTCCAGTGTGAACATGCCCAGTTTATTTAATCACTCCTCATAGTCCAGTGTGGAGTCCTGTAGCTCTCAATTGCCTCCTGCTCTTGCTGTTGAGATGCCCTCAATATAGCCTTATTGCACTACCAGGCCTATAATTCCAGTGACAAACTGCTTGTTTGTAAATCCTCACCTCCATCTGTAGAATATTACAGCAACAAATATACTTTTTAGAAGAAACAACAAATGTTTATTAACCCTAAAGACCCTCAATCTCCTTATTGCGCAGTGTTTAGAATTGGATTGTGTGCTGCAGTCAGTGTGTGTTTGTCTTGTCAGTTTTCCGTTGCTCCACCAGTGAATTTTCTTTCCTCGTTTCTCAGCCAACTTTCCTGGACGACGGCCGACAGGTGAGACACACACTTGTTAAACTTTAATCACAGCAATTGTAGGAGCAGTGAGAATGTTGTCTCAGGGCCGGATTTTGCATTTGAATGTTTGAATCAATCAGTAATTCTGCACGATGAAGGTGAATGTGAGTGGGGTTTGTGCTTCTGAATTCTCCCCTCGGATACATTTCCGTTTACAGAAGACATGTGATTATCTGGAATCCACTGAACGTGTGATTGTTCTGTTCACATGTTCTATTTGATGTGAGTTTGCACAGGTGTCGTTCCCATCAGGGACTGGGTTTATGTTCTCTACATTGTTGTGAACTGCTTCACTCTTTATATTCTCCAATACCCAGCCATTGAATTTGCTCTTCCCGTCTGACTAACATTTGTTTGTGTTTTCTAGAGAGACCTTGGATTTTCCGCCCTGCAAGTGAGTAGCTTTTTCACATCTGCTTCATACATCTCAAGTTTCAGCCTTAGATTGCCCTTGATATTGAGTAGCAAAGGGGAGAGCAGCACCACCTCGTATTTGCCTCAGATGAAGCTTGATATTGAGGTCAAAACGCAAAATACTGCAGATGCTGGAAATCTGAATACAAAATCAGAAGTCTCTGGGAACAATCAGCAGGTCAGGCAGCATCTCCGGAGAAAGGAAAATGAGTCAACGTTTCTGGTCCATGACCCTTCGTCACAACTATAAAGATTTGTCGAAGGATTGTGGAACCGAAACCTTGACTCACTTTCCTTTCTCCATAGATATTGCCTGAGTTGCTTAGTGTTCCCAGTGACGTCTGTTGTTGATATTGAGGTGTTAGACTGGAGCCGGCAATCACACACGGCATGATGGACTGGGGGGTAGTTTGTGATGTTTGAATTGAGTGCTGGGATCAGATGAATGATTTCCTTGTCGGCTTCCACTTGCTGTCGTAGTGACCTTTGCTCCTTATTTTCTCAGCCCCTCCAACACCTAAAACAACTGGTGAGTGAGCCCCATGTTTACTTTACTTACACCCCAGGAAATGCAGAATATATTGACATTTGAACATGTAAATGACATGGACTTGGGTATAGAGAGTAACATTTTCAAGCTTGCAGGTAATGCTCAGCTAAGAAGAGTAGCAAATTTTATGGAGGACTGTAGAAGACTGCAGGAGGACATTGTTGTAAGATGGGCAGACACTCGGCAGATGAAGATTAATTCCAATAATGTGGATAAAACGCAAAATAATGCATTTTGGGAGGAAGAATGAGAAGAGGCAATGTAAACAAGATGGTAGAATCTAAAAGGGACTGAAGGAAGAAAGACACTTGTGGCTTCATTTCAGTAAATCTTCGAAGGTGGCAGGATAGTCAGATAAAGCTGATAAGAAAGCATAGGGGTTACTAGGATTTATAAATAGGGGTAAAGAATACAAAAACCGGAAGTTATGATGAACCTTTATAGAACACTGGTTTAGCAAATGAGGCAAACCTCAGCTAGAGATGGTATTGATTTCTGGGCACCACACTTTTGGAGGATGTCTAGGGGTTAGGTAGTGCTCAGAGGAGATTTTCCAGGATGGTAACAGGAATGAGAGACTTCAGTTATCAGGACAGGCTGGAGACGCTACAACAACAACAACAACAACAACAACAAGATTCCATTTATAAAGCGCCTTTCACGTCAGGAGGACGTCCCAAGGCGCTGCACAGTTGGGTCATGGATTATTCTCCTTGGAGCAGAGGATGTGAATAGGAGATGAAATAGAAGTTTCTAAAATTCTGAGAGGATTTGATAGATTGAAGGAGGAGAAACTATTTGCACTGACAGGTGGGTCAGTAATCAAAGGGAACAGTATCTCAATAGTTGTTGAAAGAAACAGAGGTGAGGTGAGCAGAAAGTGTTTTCACAAAGCGAGTTGGTTGCATCTGGAATGCATTGCCTGAAAGGGTAGTGCAAGCCAATTCGATAACAACTTTTAAGACAGATATAGATAATTATTAGGGAGGATAAGATTGGACGGCTGTGTGTATAGAGTTAGGTATTGGAATTGATTTTGATAGCCCTTTTCAAAAAGACGGCAGAGACACGATGAGCCGAATGTCCTCCTTCTGTGTTGTATAATTCTATATTTCTATCACCTTATTGAGATTCATGTGCAGAATGAAGTTGCTTGGTTAAAATTTGATCTTTTACAACACTCCGACTGTTTGAATATCACTCGTGGAGTCAGCTATTCAATTAATTTCAAGTTAATTTGTTATCAAATCAAGTGCGGAATCTGCGTTTTGCCTATTTCACTGGAAATGATCTTTTCTGCCTTTTGCAGTTCACCCTCACAAGCCATTCCGTGAGTCATTTGTTACTTTCCAAACGCAACTTGTGCTGAATGTGTAAAACGTCATTCAAATATAGAATTCCCAGTTGCCTGAGGCTGAGAATTGGATTGTAGTTTTGGCTCTGATCAGAGACTGTAAAGAACGGCATGAAATAGGAGATTGTTTGGGTTGTTGAATTGTGTGGTGGAGTCAGTGTGTGTTTGTCTTGTCAGCTTTCAGTTGCTGCACCAGTGACTTTTCATTCTTCCTTTCTCAGCCAACGTTCCTGGACGACGGCCGCCAGGTGAGACACACACTTGTTATACTTTGAGCACAGCAATTGCAGGGAGCAGTGAGAATGTTGTCTCAGGGCCGGATTTTGCATTTGAATGTTTGAATCAATCAGTAATTCTGCACGAAGAAGGTGAATGTGAGTGGGGTTTGTGCTTCTGAATTCTCCCCTCGGATACATTTCAGTTTGCAGAAGACATGTCATCATCTGGAATCCACTGAACATGTGATTGTTCTGTTCACATGTTCTAATTAATGTGTGTTTGCACAGGTGTCATTCCCATCAGGGACTGGGTTTATGATCTCCACATTGTTGTGAACTGCTTCACTCTTTATATTCTCCAACAACCAGCCATTGAATTTGCTCTTCCCGTCTGGCTAACATTTGGTTGTGTTTTCTAGAGAGACCTTGGATTTACACCCCTGCAAGTGAGTTGCTTTTTCGCATCTGCTTAATACCCCTCAAATTTCAGCCTTAAAATGGCCCTTGATATTGAGTAGCAAAGGAGAGAGCAGCACCACCTCATATTTGCCTCAGATAAAGCTTGATATTGAAGTCAAACCGCAAAATTCTGCAGATCCTGGAAATCTGAATACAACAACAGAAGTCGCTGGGAACACTCAGCAGGTCAGGCAGCATCTACGGAGTAAGGAAAGTGAGCCAACATTTCTGGTCCATGACCCTTCGTCGGAACTGAAAAGATTTGTCGAAGGCTTGTAGCAGCAAAACATTGACTCACTTTCCTTTCTCCATAGATAGTGCCTGAGTTGCTGAGTGTTCCCAGTGACTTCTGTTGTTGATATTGAGGTGTTAGACTGGAGCCGGCAATCACACACGGCATGATGGACTGGGGGTAGTTTGTGATGTTTGAATTGAGTGCTGGGATCAGATGTGTGTTTTCCTTGTCGGCTTCCACTTGCTGTAGTAGTGACCTTTCTTACTTTCTTACTTTCTCAGCCCCTCCAACACCTAAAACAACTGGTGAGTGAGCCCCATGTTTACTATACTTACAGCCCAGGAAATGCAGAATGTATTTCTATTGGCCATATAATTGTCATGGACTTGGGTATAGGGAGTAGAATTTCCAAGTATACAGATGATGATAAGCTAAGAAGAAGAATATATGATGCGGAGGACAGTTGCAGACTGCAGGAGGACATAGTTGTAATATGGGCAGACACGTGGCAGGTGAAGTTTAATTCCAGTAAAGTGGACAGAATGCAAAGTAATGTGTTTTGGGAGGAAGAATGAGGAGAGGCTATGTAAACAAGATGGTAGAATCCTGTGCGTAGAGTCCTGTGCGTTCATTTCAGTACGTTTTTGAAGGTGGCAGCACAGGTCGATAAAGCTGTGAAAAAAGCATTTGTGACAGAATACAAAAATCAGAAAGCTATGATGAAACTTTATTAAACACTGGTTAGCCAAATGAGGCAAACCTCAGCTGGAGAATGTATTGAATTCTGGCCACCACATTTTCGGAAGGATGTCAAGGCATTGGAGGAGTGCAGAGTTATCAGGACAGACTGGAGACGCGAGGATTATTTTCACTGAAGCAGAGGAGTTTAAGAGCAGACTAAATAGAAGTTTCTAAAATTCTGAGAGGATTTGATAGGGTGAAGAAGGAGAAACTATTTGAACTGGTGGGTGGCTCTGTAACCAGAGGGCACCGTTTCAAAGTAGTTGTCAAAAGAAACAGAGGGGAGGTGAGCAGAAAGTGTTTTCACAAAGCGAGTGGGTTGGTTCAGGATTGCATTGCCTGAAAGCGTGGTGGAAGCCAATTTGATAACAATTTTTAATACAGATGTAGATAATTATTTGAGGAGGACAAAGCTGGACTGCTGTGGGTGTGGATTAGGGGAGTGTTATTGATTTGGACAGCTCTTTTCAAACAGCCGGCACAGACACGGTGAGCCATATGGCCTCTTCTGTGCTGTATAATTCTATATTTCTATGATCTTATTGAGATTCACGTGCAGAATGAAGTTGCTTGGTCTAAATTTCAACTCTTGCAATACACAGAGTGTTTGAGTATCAATTTTGGAGTCATAATTCAATTCATTTCAAATTAATTTGTTGTCACATCAAGTGCGGAATCGTTGTTTTGTGTATTTCACTGTAACTTATCTTTTCTGCCTTTTGCAGTTCACCCTCACAAGCCATTCCGTGAGGCATTTGTTGCTTTCCAAACCCAACTTGTGCTGAATGTGTAAAACGTCATTCAAATATAGAATTCCCAGTTGCCTGAAGCTGAGAATTGGATTGCAGTGTTGGGTCTGATCAGAGACTGTAAAGAACGGCATGAAATAGGAGATTGTTTGGGGTGTTGAATTGTGTGCTGGAGTCAGTGTGTGTTTGTCTTGTCAGCTTTCAGCTGCTCCACCAGTGACTTTTCTTTCCTCCTTTCTCAGCCAACTTTCCTGGACGATGGCCGACAGGTGAGACACAACCTTGTTATACTTTCAGCACAGCAATTCTAGGAGCAGTGAGAATGTTGTCTCAGGGCCGGATATTGCATTTGAATGTTTGAATCAATCAGTAATTCTGCACGATGAAGGTGAATGTGAGTGGGGTTTGTGCTTCTGAATTCTCCCCTCGGATACATTTCCGTTTGCAGAAGACATGTGATCATCTGGAATCCACTGAACATGTGATCGTTCTGCTCGCATGTTCTATTTGATGTGCGTTTGCACAGGTGTCATTCCCATCAGGGACTGGGTTTATGTTCTCTACATTTTTGTGAACTGCTTCATTCTTTATATTCTCCAATAACCAGCCATTGAATTTGCTCTTCCGGTCTGACTAATGTTTGGTTGTGTTTTCTAGAGAGACCTTGGATTTTCCGCCCTGCAAGTGAGTTGCTTTTTCGTATCTGCTTCACACATCTCAAATTTCAGCCTTAAAATGGCCTTGATATTGAGTAGCAAAGGAGAGAGCAGCACCACCTCGTATTTGCCTCAGATAAAGCTTGATATTGAGGTCAATACGCAAAATACTGCAGATGCTGGAAATCTGACAACGCAAACAGAAGTCTCAGGGAACACTCAGCAGGTCAGGCAGCATCTACGGAGTAAGGAAAAAGAGTCAACATTTCTGGTCCATGACCCTCCGTCAGAACTGAAAAGATTTGTGTAGTTTGTGATGTTTGAATTTCGTACTCGGTTCATATGTGTGTTTTCCTTGTCGGCTTCCACTTGCTGTAGTAGTGACCTTTCTTACTTTCTTACTTTCTCAGCCCCTCCAACACCTAAAACAACTGGTGAGTGAGCCCCATGTTTACTTTACTTACAGCCCAGGAAATGCAGAATGCATTGACTATTGGCCATATAAATGTCATGGACTTGGGTATAGGGAGTAGAATTTCCCAGCTGACAGATAATGCTAAGCTAAGAAGAGTAGAAAATTTTGTGGAGGATGATAGCAGACTACAGGCGGCCATAGAAATAATTGTAAGATGGGCAGATACGTGGCAGATAAAGTTTAATTCCAATAATATGGACAAAATGCAATGTCAATGTGTTTTGGAAGGAAGAATAAGAAGAGGCAATGTAATAATAATAAATAATATTAATCCTTGCATTTGATACAGCGCTTTTCACGTCGTAAGGACGTCGCAAAGCGCTTCACAGAATACACTGTATAGTGAATTGACTGTATATTTGTGTGTGAACGCGGCAGCCAATTGCGCACAGCAATGTCCCACAAACAGTCGTAGATTGAAAAGGACCAATTTATTCTTGTTTTTGATTTGGAGGGATTATTATTATGCGTGTGGAGTAAGGAAACTTGCCCAAGGTTTCGCCGTGCCTGGAAGTGAACTCAGGTCTCTCGGTTGCAAAGCGAGTGGTCTAACCACTGAGCTACAGGGCTCCACAATATAAACAGGACAGTTGAATCTTAAAGGGGCTGAAGGAACACAGAGACCTGGGGCTTCACATAAATCTTTGAACGTAGCAGGACAGGAAGATAAAGCTGTTAAAAAAGCAAAGGGGTTACTAGGCTTTATAAATCGGGGCAAAGAATACAAAAGTCAGGAAGTTATGATGAACCTTTAAAGAACACTGGTTTGGCAAATGAGGCAAACCTCAGCTAGAGACGGTATTGATTTCTGGGCATCACACATTCAGAGGATTTCTAGGTGTTAGGGGGTGCTCAGAGGAGATTTTCCAGGATGGTAACAGGAATGAGAGACTTCAGTTCCCAGGACAGGCTGGAGGCACTAGGATTATTCTTCTTGGAGCAGAAGATATGAAGAGGAGATGAAATAGAAGCTTTTAAAATTCTGAGAGGATTTGACAGGGTGAAGAAGGAGAAACTATTTGCACTGGTGGGTGGCTCTGTAACCAGAGGGCACCGTTTCAAAGCAGTTGTCAAAAGAAACAGAGGGGAGGTGAGCAGAAAGTGTTTTCACAAAGCGAGTTGGTTGGTTCAGGAATGCATTGACTGAAAGGGTGGTGGAAGCCAATTCGATGACAACTTTTAAGAGAGATGTAGATAATTATTTGAGAAGGACAAAGTTGAATGGCTGTGGGGGTAGAGTGGGGGAGTGTTATTGATTGGGGCAGCTCTTTTCAAAAAGCCGGGACAGACACGATGAGCCATATGGCCTCCTTCTGTGCTGTATAATTCTGTATTTCTATGATCGTATTGAGATTCACGTGCAGAATGAAGTTGCTTGGTCAACTCCTGCAATACACAGAGTGTTTGAGTATCAATTTTGGAGTCAGTTATTCAATTCATTTCGAATTAATTTTTTGTCACATCAAGTGTGGAATCCGTGTTTTGCCTATTTCACTGTAAATGATAGTTTCTGCCTTTTGCAGTTCACCCTCACAAGCCATTCCGTGAGTCATTTGCTTCTTTCCAAACCCAACTGCTGCTGAATGTGTGAATCGTCATTCAAATATATAATTCCCAATTGCGTTCGGTGGAGAATTGGATTGCAATTCAGAGACTGTAAAGAATGGGATGAAATAGGAGATTGTTGGGGTTTTGAATTGTGTGCTGGAGTCAGTGTGTGTTTGTCTTGTCAGCTTTCAGTTGCTGCACCAGTGACTTTTCTTTCCTCCTTTCTCAGCCAACATTCCTGAACCATTGCCGACAGGTGAGACACATTCTTGTTATGCATTCAGCACAGAAATTGCAGGAGCAGTGAGAATGTTGTCTCAGGGCTGGATATTGCATTTGAATGTTTGAATTAATCAGTAATTCTGCACGATGAAGGTGAATGTGAGTGGGGTTTGTGCTTCTGAATTCTCCCCTCGGATACATTTCCGTTTGCAGAAGACATGTGATCATCTGGAATCCACTGAACATGTGATTGTTCTGTTCACATGTTCTATTTGATGTGTGTTTGCACAGGTGTCAGTCCCATCAGGGACTGGGTTTATGATCTAAATTTTGGTATGAACTGTTTAATTTGTGATATTCTACAATAACCAGTCATTTTCTTTGCTCTTCCCATCAAACTAATATTTGGTTGTGTTTTCCAGGGAGACCATCAACTCACGTACCTGCAAGTGAGACACTGTTTAATATCTGCTTGATGAGCTCAACGTTGCCGCCTTAAAATAGGTTTGAAATTGATTAGCAAAGGAGAGAGCAGCACCACCTTGTATTTGGCTCAGTTGAAGCTTGATATTGAAGTGTTGGACTGGAGCCAGCAATCACACACGGCATGATGGCCTGGGGTGCAGTTTGGGATGTTTGAATTCAGTGCTGGGATCAGATGTGGGTTTTTCTTGTCGGCTTTCACTTCCAGTCATTAAGAATGTGCTTGGCAAAAGAAGACCATGGTCCATCTATTTCACCTGCCACCATCCTGGCAGTCGTCTCCCAAACGTTATCCTAAATCCCGAGATATTATTTTCTGGCAGTAATCTATGTAATTTGTTCTTGATAGAAACAACATTTTCTGTTTTCACTGCTCCTTCGGGAGACTGTTCCTCACGTTTACTGTTCGCTCACTGAGTGTTTCCACAGATTTGTTCTGATTTCGACAGATTTACCCCCTTTCAATCGCAGGTCATGTCCCCTGTTCAGCACAAGAAATATCAGCTTGGCGTGGTCTACATTATCTATTCCCTTCAGAATCTTAAAGACCATAATCATATTAGGGCCTCTCAACCTTCTCTTCTCCAGTGTGAACATGCCCAGTTTATCTAATCACTACTCATAGTCCAGACCCTCCATCCCCTGAAACATGTTGGTTGCTCTCCTCTGTATCTTCTCAAACACTGCAATATCCTTTCTGTATTACAGTGACCAGAACTAGATACAGTAATCCAAATGCTGTCACACCAGTGATTTGTAAAGTGTTAGGATCACCCTATGTTTCGGCTCAACATTGCCTTTTGATACAGCCCGGCATCCGGTTTGGCTTATTCTCTGCTCCCAAGCTTTGTTGAGAAAGCTTCAATTTTTCATCAATCAGGTTCCCAAGGTCCTTTTCATTTTCCGTACAGATTATTTCCTTACCTTTTAAATAATAGTCCCTTACTGGATTTTTTGTTCCCATGGGAAGCACATTTCATTTCTCGATATTAAATTTTATGTGCCATAGATCTACCCACTTCCTAAGAATGTTCAAATCTTCCTGTAACCTGTCCTGTTCCTCTTTGCAGTCAACCACCTTCGATAGCTTTGTAAATGCAAAATCAACAACAATGTGCCTAGAAACCAAGTAGTAAATTAGTTTGGCATGATCTGCCCTTCATAAACCTATATTGACTATCTTTTTTATCAATTTATAACTGACCAGGTGCTCCATGATCTTATTTTTAGTAAGAATCTCCATCAGTTTATCAAATGCAGGGATTTTTACTCCTCCATTAACTCTAGAAATCCCTTCCCTATCTTACCAGTAGACACATTTTCAACCCAATCAATTTCAGGTAAGTTAATATCTCCAACTGCGATGGTTGGTCCCTTGCTAATCACCTTCCTGATCTCATCCCACAGTTCCAGATCAAGGCTATGACCCTGGTCTGGAGGTCTTTAACAAACCCCAATAATAGTGGACAGCCTCTGTTGCAATCTATTAATTCTACCGAAAGTGATTCTGTGGCTTCCCATCCTGAACGATGAAGGTGAATGTCAGTGGGGTTTACTGTACAGCCCAGGAAATGCAGAAAGTATTGACCATCTTACTGAGATTCACATGCAGAATGAAGTTGCTTGGTCTAAATTTCAACTTGTGAAATACACCGACTGTTTGCGTATCACCTTTGGAGTTTGCGATGGTTCTCACCCCTGTTGTAACAAATCAATTTTATTTATGCAAAGGGAACTGGGTGTCCTCTGTTTCAGTTCTTTCTCTGTAAGTGCAAATCTCGACTCTTGTGGAAATTTCACTAATTAGAGCAACGTGCCGACAGGTATTCTCAATTGCCTCCTGCTCTTGCTATTGAGATGCCCTCATTATAGCCTTATTGCACTACCAGGCCTATAATTCCAGTGACTAACTGCTTGTGTGTAAATCCCCACCTCCATCTGTAGAATATTACAGCAACAAATATACTTTTTAGAAGAAATAACACATGTTTATTAACCCTAAAGACCCTCAGTCTCCTTACTGTGCAGTGTTTGGGGTTGGATTGTGTGCTGCAGTCAGCGTGTGTTTGTCTTGTCAGTTTTCAGTTGCTCCACCAGTGATTTTTCTCTCCTCGTTTCTCAGCCAACTTTCCTGGACGACGGCCGACAGGTGAGACACACAACACTTGTTATACTTTGAGCTCAGCAATTGCAGGGAGCAGTGAGAGTGTTGTCTCAGGGCTGGATTTTGCTTTTGACTGTTTGAATCAATCGATAATTCTGCACGATGAAGGTGAATGTGATTGGAGTTTGTGCTTCTGAATTCTCCCCTCGGATACATTTCCGTTTGCAGAAGACATGTGATCATCTGGAATCCACTGAACATGTGATTGTTCTGTTCACATGTTCTATTTGACGTGAGTTTGCACAGGTGTCGTTCCCATCAGGGACTGGGTTTATGTTCTCTACATTGTTGTGAACTGCTTCACTCTTTATATTCTCCAATACCAGCCATTGAATTTGCTCTTCCCGTCTGACTAACATTTGTTTGTGTTTTCTAGAGAGACCTTGGATTTTCCGCCCTGCAAGTGAGTTGCTTTTTCGCATCTGCTTCATACATCTCAAGTTTCAGCCTTAGATTGCCCTTGATATTGAGTAGCAAAGGAGAGAGCAGCACCACCTCGTATTTGCCTCAGATAAAGCTTGATATTGAGGTCAAAACGCAAAATACTGCAGATGCTGGAAATCTGAATAAAAAAACAGAAGTCGTTGGGAACACTCAGCAGGTCAGGCAGCATCTACGGAGTAAGGAAAGTGAGTCAACGTTTCTGGTCCATGACCCTTCGTCACAACTATAAAGATTTGTTGAAGGATTGTGGAACCGAAACCTTGACTCACTTTCCTTTCTCCATTGATACTGCCTGAGTTGCTGAGTGTTCCCAGTGACTTTTGTCGTTGATATTGAGGTGTTAGACTGGAGCCGGCAATCACACACGGCATGATGGACTGGGGGGTAGTTTGTGATGTTTGAATCGAGTGCTGGGATCAGATGTGTGTTTTCCTTGTCGGCTTCCACTTGCTGTAGTAGTGACCTTTGCTCCTTATTTTCTCAGCCCCTCCAACACCTAAAACAACTGGTGAGTGAGCCCCATGTTTACTATACTTAGCCTCAGGAAATGCAGAATATGTTGACATTTGTACATATAAATGACATGGACTTGGGTATAGAGAGTAACATTTTCAAGCTTGCAGGTAATGCTCAGCTAAGAAGAGTAGCAAATTTTATGGAGGACAGTTGCAGACTGCAGGAGAACATTGTAAGATGGGCAGACACGTGGCAGATGAAGATTAATTCCAATAATGTGGACAAAACGCAAAATAATGCATTTTGGGAGGAAGAATGAGAAGAGGCATTGTAAACAAGTTGGTAGAATCTAAAAGGGACTGAAGGAAGAAAGACACTTGTGGCTTCATTTCAGTAAATCTTCGAAGGTGGCAGGATAGTCAGATAAAGCTGATAAGAAAGCATAGGGGTCACCAGCATTTATAAATAGGGGCAAAGAATACAAAATCCGGAAGTTATGATGAACCTTTATAGAACACTGGTTTACCAAATGAGGCAAACCTCAGCTAGAGATGGTATTGATTTCTGGGCACCAGACTTTTGGAGGATGTCTAGGGGTTAGGTGGTGCTCAGAGGAGATTTTCCAGGGTGGTAACAGGAATGAGAGACTTCAGTTATCTGGACAGGCTGGAGACGCTAGGATTATTCTCCTTGGAGCAGAGATGTGAAGAGGAGATGAAATAGAAGTTTCTAAAATTCTGAGAGGATTTGATAGCTTGAAGGAGGAGAAACTATTTGCACTGACAGTTGGTTCAGTAATCAAAGGGAACAGTATCTCAATAGTTGTTGAAAGAAACAGAGGTGAGGTGAGCAGAAAGTGTTTTCACAAAGCGAGTTGGTTGCATCTGGAATGCATTGCCTGAAAGGGTAGTGCAAGCCAATTCGATAACAACTTTTAAGACAGATATAGATAATTATTAGGGAGGACAAGATTGGACGGCTGTGTGTATAGAGTTAGGTATTGGAATTGATTTTAATAGCCCTTTTCAAAAAGACGGCAGAGACACGATGAGCCGAATGTCCTCCTTCTGTGTTGTATAATTCTATATTTCTATCACCTTATTGAGATTCATGTGCAGAATGAAGTTGCTTGGTTAAAATTTGTTCTGTTACAACACTCCGACTGTTTGAATATCACTCGTGGAGTCAGCTATTCAATTAATTTCAAGTTAATTTGTTATCACATCAAGTGCGGAATCTGCGTTTTGCCTATTTCACTGGAAATGATCTTTTCTGCCTTTTGCAGTTCACCCTCACAAGCCATTCCGTGAGTCATTTGTTACTTTCCAAACGCAACTTGTGCTGAATGTGTAAAACGTCATTCAAATATAGAATTCCCAGTTGCCTGAGGCTGAGAATTGGATTGTAGTTTTGGCTCTGATCAGAGACTGTAAAGAACGGCATGAAATAGGAGATTGTTTGGGGTGTTGAATTGTGTGGTGGAGTCAGTGTGTGTTTGTCTTGTCAGCTTTCAGCTGCTCCAGCTGTGATTTTTCTCTCCTCCTTTCTCAGCCAACTTTCCTGGACGACGGCCGCCAGGTGAGACACACACTTGTTATGCTTTCAGCACAGCAATTGCAGAAGTGAGAATGTTGTCTCAGGGCCGGATTTTGCATTTGAATGTTTGAATCAATCAGTAATTCTGCACGAAGAAGGTGAATGTGAGTGGGTTTGTGCTTCTGAATTCTCCCCTCGGATACATTTCAGTTTGCAGAAGACATGTGATCATCTGGAATCCACTGAACATGTGATCGTTCTGTTCGCATGTTCTATTTGATGTGTGTTTGTACAGGTGTCATTCCCATCAGGGACTGGGTTTATGTTCTCCACATTTTTGTGAACTGCTTCACTCTTTATATTCTCCAATACCCAGCCATTGAATTTGCTCTTCCCGTCTGGCTAACATTTGGTTGTGTTTTCTAGAGAGACCTTGGATTTTCCGCCCTGCAAGTGAGTTGCTTTTTCGCATCTGCTTCATACATCTCAAGTTTCAGCCTTAAAATGGCCTTGATATTGAGTAGCAAAGGAGAGAGCAGCACCACCTCGTATTTGCCTCAGATAAAGCTTGATATTGAAGTCAAACCGCAAAATTCTGCAGATCTGGAAATCTGAATACAAAACAGAAGTCGCTGGGAACACTCAGCAGGTCAGGCAGCATCTACGGAGTAAGGAAAGTGAGCAACATTCTGGTCCATGACCCTTCGTCGAACTGAAAAGATTTGTGAAGGCTTGTGCAGCAAAACATTGACTCACTTTCCTTTCTCCATAGATAGTGCCTGAGTTGCTGAGTGTTCCCAGTGACTTCTGTTGTTGATATTGAGGTGTTAGACTGGAGCCGGCAATCACACACGGCATGATGGACTGGGGGGTAGTTTGTGATGTTTGAATCGAGTGCTGGGATCAGATGTGTGTTTTCCTTGTCGGCTTCCACTTGCTGTAGTAGTGACCTTTCTTACTTTCTTACTTTCTCAGCCCTTCCAACACCTAAAACAACTGGTGAGTGAGCCCCATGTTTACTATACTACAGTCCAGGAAATGCAGAATGTATTGACTATTGACCATAGAAATGACATGGACTTGGGTTTTGGGAGTAGAATTTTCAAGCTTACAGATAATGCTAAGCTAAGAAGTGAAGTAAATTTTGTGGACGATAGTCGCCGTCTGCAGGCGGCCATAGAAAAACTTGTAAGATGGGCAGATACGTGGCAGATGAAGTTTAATTCCAATAATAGGACAAAATGCAATGTAATTTGTTTCGGGAGGAAGAATGAGAAGAGGCAATAAAACAGATAGTAGAATCTTAAAGGGCTGAAGAACTACAGAGACCTGGGCTTCATATAAGTAAATCCTCAGGTGGCAGGAAAGGTAGATAAAGCTGTTAAAAAAAGCATACGGATACTAGGCTTCACAAATAGGGGCAAAGATTACAAAAGTCAGGAAGTTATGATGAACGTTTATAAACACTGGTTTGGCAAATGAGGCAAACCTCAGCTGGAGACGGTATTGATTTCTGGCATCACACTTTCGGAAGGATGTCAAGGGGTTAGGGGGCCTCAGAGGAGATTTCCCAGGATGGTAACAGGAATGAGAGACTTCAGTTATCAGGACAGGCTGGAGACGCTAGGATTATTCTCCTTGGAATAGAGAACGTGAAGAGGAGATGAAATAGAAGTTTTTAAAATTCTGAGAGGATTTGATAGGGTGAAGAAGGAGAAACTATTTGCACTGGTGGGTGGCTCTGTAACCAGAGGGCACCGTTTCAAAGTAGTTGTCAAAAGAAACAGAGGGGAGGTGAGCAGAAAGTGTTTTCACAAAGCGAGTTGGTTGGTTCAGGAATGCATTGCCTGAAAGGGTAGTGGTAGCCAATTCGATAACAATTTTTAATACAGATGCAGATAATTATTTGAGGAGGACAAAGTTGGACGGCTGTTGTTGTAGAGTAGGGGAGTGTTATTGATTTGGACAGCTCTTTTCAAAAAGCCGGCACAGACACGATGAGCCGTATGGCCTCCTTCTGTGCTATATAATTCTTTATTTCTATGATCTTATTGAGATTCACGTGGAGAATGAAGTTGCTTGGTCTAAATTTCAACTCTTGCAATACACAGAGTGTTTGAGTTTCAATTTTGGAGTCAGTTATTCAATTCATTTCAAATTAATTTGTTGTCACATCAAGTGCGGAATCGTTGTTTTGCCTATTTCACTGTAAGTGATCTTTTCTGCCTTTTGCAGTTCACCCTCACAAGCCATTCCGTGAGGCATTTGTTGCTTTCCAACCATTCACTATAGGTCGTAGATCCGTTGTTCGTCGTCTCTTATTCTCGTTTGGTCCAAGCCGCGTAATAAA